AGAGAAGGATTAGAAGTCATTGAACTAGCCACCTTTGTGGGGAGCTGAGGCTTCTGCCCACCAGAAATCCTCTTAGGAAACCATAGACAATATGCCTCAAGATAATTCTTTCGAAGAATAAGGACTGTCCACCAATCTGGATCCTTCATTTCTCGAGGGTTGTCTTCAGAGCATCGACTTTCCTACAAATTCCCGCAGCTTAGGGAAAGGCATTGTGGCACAGATGGGAGAGGAACAATGAGTGAGATGGGAACCTAGCGCCACCACGTTAACTGTCTACCTGAGCATTAGCTGAAATACAAAGTGGGGCCAAGGACTATGAGGCACACAAAAGTCTCCAATTTTTTCCAGCTAAAGGAGCTAAACCTCTGTCGGCCCTAAATTTATGTCAGAAGTCCACCCAGCTCCCACAGACGTCAAAACGCATGTTTCAAAGAAGTATTTTGAAGGTGAACAACATCTTCCTTAGCTTACCTTTCTCAGTCGTATCACACCATCCTGGGCCTGGGCATCAGAGGTGACTTCAAAGAGTGCTGTTCCATCTCCATCAATGATGTCGTACGATGACTGTGCATTTTCACCAATATCCTGATCATTGGCCTTCACCCTCCCTATTGCAGTGCCAAGGACCACGTCTTCTGGTACTGAGAAGTGATACAGACCTTAAAAAGGAAGAGAAATGCTGAGCACTACATGGTTTCCATTCACTCATTTATCCATTTAGCAAATATTTAGTGTGCACTTCCTTTGTTCTGGGCACTCCTGTAAATGCTACCAATATGGTGATGGGGAAGACAAAAATGACCCCTTTCACTGTGGAATGTACAATCTTTTAAATGAGTCAGAAACAAAAAGTTCCCCGTAGAGGTAGTGATCTCTCCTCAAGACTTAGTTCTGAGATAAACTTATTCAACCCTGTGTTTACTCAGTATGTATTTGGAGCAGAGTTATATCAGGATATTAGTGAGTCTATGTGATTGTTTTTCCCAATTTACCATATAATCACATCAGCAGCCCATGGGGATGCTCATTGTTGCCCAACATAAAATAGTAAGCTAATTTCAGCACAGAAAGATGCAACGTGTAACACTCTGAAAGTCACTTTTGAAGTTACCTTTATGTTTACAGACTTGTAGACCATTTTTGATAAAATCCAATTACCAAACTTCTGCTGTGCCCTGTGGCAAGCTGCTCAGACACATGAAACACTTCTTGGTACTAAAGTCCTCATCGCTCTGAAGACCAAAATCCCTGCCTTCAAAACTCTCTAGGCAAAATACAATTACAGGGAACTTTCATTCTCTCCTGGGGGCAGTAAAATGTATCTAATTAGTGGCATTAGTCCCATTTTTATTCAAATCACTTTAGTTGTTGTCTTAGTGTTACTCCCTGTCACGTACTGTCATCAGTGTAGAGGAATTTGTTGGAACCTGAAACTTAACCCCTGGCCGTGACCACTTTGGTGCATATCTGCCCGGCATCTCACTGCCAACTCCTGCATTTATTTGTCTGAGGATTTTCTCTGACCTTCAGAACCCACTTTGCCCACGGCCCGCCAGGCCAGAACTACCAGAGAATTTATGCCCCACAGAAGCAGCCCTTAAAACCTTACACGAGTTAATATATAACATCTCGGGCTCCTCCCCTTTCGGTTGGGATAACATTTCTAGCGCTTTCTTTTCTTTTATTTACAGTGTTCCAGAGTTTCCCCAATAGGATGAAGCTCCTGTCACCACAGTCATAGCTGGCTTAACAATACACATTCTTGGATCCTCCGTCTTTCTCTTTCTCACATCCCCACTTCCCCTACTGGCATTTCTTGGGATCATCTCCAAGATAAACTACTTATAATCAAATTCTTCTCTCAGTGCCTGTTTCTGGGGAATCCTAACCCAGACAACCAGGAAGTTTTAGTCCCATTGCAACAAAAACAAGGGAAAAATAAACAATCAATGAGCTATAAACCCAAAAGGAAAAATGAAATCTGGAGAACATTACCTAATTCTAGTTTGAACTCAATCACTGAGTCCCTGGGATAAACAAAGGCTCATTTTATCCAATATAACAAGATTATTCGAATGATGGGTAAGGTTTTCTTCTAGCACTAATGCACTTTTATTTAATGATGAAATAAAAATGTCCCTTAAAATCATGAAATTATGGGACCGGGGAACAAAAATGTTTTCTAAACAGTTTCACCATAAGGTAGGCACTGAAAATCATCGTGTAGAACACAAATCTCCCAATTCTCTAGTAATTGGTTTAATGATTCCATTTCCTTCAAACTTTATATTCCAGGTTAGGTTTGAGATGGTCCTGTCAGGTATGCTTATTTAGTAAACAAGCCAGCAATGGATCTCACCTTGCTACCAGTCAGTCCTGCTTCAGGAAGCCTGGGGAAACCAAGAAAATGGAAGGTTTCTTATTCATTTCTATTCTGCTCACTCTCATCATCTCTATCAGTGTGATCAAAGTTAATAGTTATTACCTCCAAGAAAGGGAATACTTTCAAAACTCATCTGCCACTGCTGAATTGAAGCTCATTTTTCCAAGAAAGAATAGTTCCCAATTAGAGTATTAACTATAATGGCATCCGAAAAAGAAATAAGAGATTTTGGGGAAGGATAGGAGAAATGGTATTCTCTTTTTCAATAATTTTGTGCAAAAAAAAAAAAAAAAAGTTGTATTGTTGTCAGATTTATGAATGGCCAGATGGAAAATTCTTAATAAAAATGCATCTTTTCTACCTTGGGATTTCTGAAGATAAATCCTCAAATATACCTCAAATGTGTAATTTTCAAGCCCCACCTCTGTCCATCTCTCTCTCTTTCTTTCTCTCTGTCCTCTCTTTTCTCTCCAAAAACTAGTTCTCCTATGATATTTCCTATCCCAGCAAATAGCACCGGCGTGCATCCAATCTCTTGTGTCAGAAATATAATTCACCTCCTCAACTGAAAATGTAATCTATCCTTAGATCTATGTTATCATTACCTCTCTTAAATATCTATCACACCTATACCCTTTATTCCACTTACACAGTGACCACTCTTGCTTGCAGGGCTACCATCACCTTTTACATGAATGATTTCAATCACCCTTAACTGGCTAAAATGTGGAGAAGACATTGGAAGAAGGCCAGATTTTATTTCCTCTGATTTCCTTGAAATCAAATCCTATTATTCAATCTACAATTTAAAATCTTTTAATGCTCCCCCGTGGTGTTAGGATAAAGATCACGGAACTTAACATGGCCTACAAATCCAATATGGCTAACTCCTGCCTAACCTAACTCTTTAGCCCCTGCGTTTCAGCTGGCATGAAATTCTGTTCTTTGTTATTCGGGGCCATACAGCCTTCTTCCACAGGGCTTTTGGACATTCTTCCCCTCTACTTGCAAAGTCCAACTCCTGCTCCACCTGCTTTCACCTCGTTTCAGCGAATTCCTTTCCATCGTTCATACCTCAGTTCAAGAATCTCCATGCCAGAAAGGGCTTCCCAAACCATCTCTTTAAGTCAGATTACTCTGACAAATGCTCAGAAGAAAAAGATTTGAGGAGAGTACAAGAGAGTTGGCAAAGAATGATCATCTCCCTGGTTCATTGATGGTGGCAGCCTACAAGGCTGAGCATGGTATCTGAGGCAGAGCTTGACTTTTGCAGGGATGAGTAGTGTCAGTGGTCACTGATATACCCCCCAGTTGCAGGAAGGAGGGGTGTATACTTTGGAGCAAGCGTACCGTCTATCTGCCTTTCCACCTCAGACACACAAGATTTAGCTTCTTTTATATAACAAGTGTTATCATTTATAGAGTAATATCTAAGGTGCCTTTTAATCATTCTCTCAAATTTTCTTAATGGGAGGTATCATGTAATAGAGAAATAAGCACATATTATGCAGTCACACTCGTCGGTTCTAATTCTCAGCTCCACAACTTACTATATAGATGCCTGATATTTGGAAATTTTCTCAACTTCTTTGAAATCTGTAAAATGGGAATACACTTAGTACCCAAATGACAAGAGAGCTGGTTTTTCACACATAGGTATGTGAAATGCAATGCCTTGTCCATAATGATTGTGATTAGTCTTTTAGATATTTCTGAAAATTAGAATATCAATTCAAATGAAAACATCACACTTAGATTCTCATCCAGTGCAGGAGATTCACTTACTCTGGGCAAATTTCGGAGGATTGTCATTTACGTCGGTGAGGGTCACTGTAAGAGTTGTGGTTCCAGACAGGCCACCGGAATGTCCACCCATATCTTTGGCTTGGATAACGACCAGGTACTCCTCCTTGGCTTCTCTGTCCATGTTGGGCAGGGCGGTTTTTATAATTGCTGAGGGGGAGAAATGGGAGAATGATGTTCAGGCAGACAGCTCATTCAGAAATAAATGTGTGGATCACACATACACAAGTCCCTATGTAGATAAATTTGTTTTCTTTTGATGTTTAACTGGTGTACATTTATGATGCCAACATTGAGAAAGATTGTAGTCATAGATGGCATTGAATAACTTGCAAAAATACATTTGATAATGTATTTTTTAAAACTTGCAAAAATATACATTAGAAAGTAAACTGAATTGGCATCCTTTTGCCTACCAAATTAAAGTATAAATCATAACACAACCTCCTCTACCCAGGAAAACCCTGGAAGTGAAAGAATCCTACAATTTATTACAGACTCCAATTCCCCAACAAGAGGAGCAAATACACAAATAGCTTGAAGGCTTTGAGGTCAAAGATAAATTATTCTGAAGCTCACAAATACATTAGAGAGATGAAAGAAATAAATGCATTATTAGAATCAACTCAGATGAATAAAACACCAATCAGAATTAATATAGGGAAGTATCTAAATGCTAAAGTACTGTTCAACTACATTTATATTTTATTGTTTAGTTATATCTTCTCTATTGTAAATGTAATAAGTATCTGAGGAAAATGGAAAGATATAGAAAAGTGGGTAAAACATAAAATCATACAAAATAACATAAAATCATCAGGCTAAAATGTCAGTGTTTTTTCTTCTGGTATATTTTCAACTTTTATCTGCCTCTTCGTGTGATTTACTAGTAATTTAATTTTCTCGTTAAAGATTCAAAATATGCATAAATATTTCTGAACTTATTTTGAAAATCTTTATTTAGCTCTTTC